ACAAATAATAAATATCTTCCAAGATATTGATGGTGAAATCAAAATTATTAGGTTCGAGGAGCGTCTTCATGTTGCCAGCTACACCCAGGTTGGTTGTATCTCTTCTCGCCCCACGCAAGTCAGCACAGCAGGTCTTCAGTTCTTTCAGGAAAGCTGGGAGGGTGGGGACCCGCCTCACCTCCAGGGGGGGAATATTCCATAGGTTGGGGGCAACGGCAGAGAAGGCTATGTCAGAATGAAGATGCTATATAGCATCCTGGCGTGCATTTATTCAGAAGGGCCATCACTTCTGCAGTTTTCTGAGAAAACGTCTCTTGTAGAAAACTTGTAGAACTGTCAAATGGACTTCTATCCAGATTTTCATGAAATACGACAAATCAGTATGTATCTACTCCTTGTCTTTTACTGCATTATCCATACAGTTTCTCAGATAATTTTCAAATGTACTCTCTTGATTTACCATTAAGATATTTGACATAAATGATTTTTTTCTCTCTTGATGTAGTTTTTATTTATCCTATCTAAGAATGTTACCCTTTTTTACAGTACAAGGGAAGAAATTAACTTATTTTTTACATGGTAATTGTCTATTTTTGTAATAGGAAGTCAGTCCTTAGGGAAGTTAAACTCCATTAACCTTACTGTATAGCAGTGTTTTGTGGTCTTTTTAACTGATAGTCCGATTAAATATTGTATATTTTTTATGGGAGCAAGTTGCAAATAATGGTAAGCCATGGTTTATTTAACTATAACTGTTGAATAAACCACACATACCTGGGTTCATACAACACATAAAGCATAAACCACAAACCATTGTGATTTGGATTCACCAAACACTTTAAACCAAAAACAAGCAAAACACATTATGGCTTAGCATGATGTCAAATTAGAGTGTGTGATCCTCCTAGAGATCAGTGGGGAAGAACAATTTCAGACCATTTTGAGTGAAATTATTGGATTCCTTCCATTTCAGGGAGGATCTTTAATTTTCCTTAAAGCTTTTGGTTTTGTTCATTTATATGGCAGCCTTAGCTAACTATAGCTGATTAAAAAAAAAAAAACTCAGCAGGCCCAAACCTCATTAGTGCTTGGGTGGAAACCACCAAGAATCTTAGTAGGTTTGACTGTGAAATATTTCAGAAAAAGACAATGGCAAACCTTTCCATATTGTTGCCAAGAAAATTATATGGACATGTCCATGGAATCACCAGGAATAAAGCTTAGTACAAAGGTGACTTTATTTATCCTTAGCAGTCCTTCACTTTTGGAATTTAGACAGCTATTATTAGGGTCTGTGACTTTTTTGTGTATCACTTAATAGAGTGCCATATCTTAGCATTTAGTGGTACTTAAAGAATAATACAAAGCGATTTATTTTGATTCATCTCCACTTGAAAATTAATTAATGCTCCTGTATTGCATCACAAAGAAATAGCAGACATGTATTCCTACAGTGATGCTGGCAGTCTGCCGAGCTGAATAAGAATGCTACCATACCTGTTGGTTGTGGGACAGGAGCTGGGGAGCTAAGTAGAGTTTCAAGGGGCAGAACACCATTGTCCTAAAATATATATATTTGCCCTTGATTAGTAGAAGCAGAATAAATTATGCCAAGGAATTTAGATCTGCATAATTCATATAGCTAGCATAATAATTCTTGGTGCAAAAGTCATTCTTTAATACAAAATATTCATGGTTTCTTGTATAGTGCTGCTGTGTTTATGACACAAGCCATGAAAGATATGGGGATAAGATGCATGTTTCTCTCCACATAATGCTAAAAAAAATGTACATGCAAGCAAATTGTAAGTCTCCATTTCTGTCAGTTTGTTTACATCATTTTTTTCCCAGGGGTCAGAATAAATGAAACTTGGATAGGAAGGAAGAAACTACCCTGTTTCACCTTTCTATTTATTTCATCTTTCTATTTATTCTGGCCTAATGTTTTCTGAATGACTACCTGTAGGTTTGGAGAGGCACATTAGCTCGACTCCGATACAAGAGGACCCGAGCTGCCCTCAAGATTATAAAATGTTACCGTCGATACAAAGTGAAGTCTTACATCTATGAGGTTGCCCGGCGATTTCAAAATGTGAAGTCTATGAAAGATTATGGGAAGCATGTGAAATGGCCTAATCCTCCAAAAGTTCTGCGACGGTTTGAAGAAGCTCTGCGTGCAATCTATTACAGGTAAGCAATGGAAACAGTCTGTTCCTTGTGTTATGGAGCTTGGTCAGTTCCATACAGCATCTTCAGCATCTCTCTGTGGAGTTACTTGTGTAGACTGTATTTGACTAAAGTACAGATGTTACTTCAGGTTGTGTCACCCACAGAAAGAATGCCATGCATATTTTTAATGACATGAGTCAGTTGAACATCTTTTCTGTATGAAAATGCTAACACCGATGGATAAATCTGTATTTTTCTTTCATCTTCCAGTCTCTATGTCAGATTCCTGTATGACTTCTTTTTTTTCTCAGATGGAGAGCACATGAACTAATCAAAAGTATCCCACCCAAAGATTTGCCACAAATCAGGGCAAAAGTGGCAGCAGTGGAGTTGCTTAAGGGCCATCGAGGAGATATTGGGTTGCAAAGGGCCTGGCAGGGCAACTATCTTGCATTGGTAAGTATAGTAGAACGTGTCAGAATTCTGTCATTGTTTCTGGTGATACTACAAAAATGGAAGCATAGTAAAAGATGAATAGTGAAGTATGTGCCCGGCTCTTATCTAGATAAATTAATAATTTATTAAATTAATTAATAAATTAATGTGTGTGGGCAAACAAACTGAAATTCCTTCCAGACGGGATAGTGGTAATATTCTTCAGTAGGTAAGCTAATCTGCGTGTGTTCTGCTCTACACTGTGTAGACTGAATTGCACTCCTGAAAATTCAAGTTTTGGCTTCCTAGAGTAAGATTTCCAACCTTTCTGGGCCAGTAAGTATGTTTGGAAATTTAAAATTATATTATAGGCACTCTTACAATATGATTGCCATGAGTAGGTTTAGCCAGTCACAAAACACCCATATATCAAGTTGGAAGCCACTGTTTGGATTTTTCTGTATGTGCCCATGTCTCCTTAATTTTTTTTTTTTTTCATCAGACAGTTGTAAGGAAACAATAACAATAATTGGAATAGCAGCAACAACAGAAATTGTTGCCCTCTAGAACAGCATCCCCCCATATGGTTGCCACCCTGATAATGTTCAGAAAGTCACTGAAAATCTGGCTATTCTCCTGGCTCTTGGGGCATGGTGGTGGTTGAACCCCTGTAGGATGTTTTGGTTGTTGTAGAGAGCTTGCCTTCTGGACACATACGTTCTGTTTCCTTATTTTTATTCCTGCTTTTTTAAGTGTAAGCTAATGGAGGACAATAGCTACAATTTTATTATAAATGTATATTTGAGACTCTGATTGGGAATGGTAAAGGTGCTGTGGACTTATTTTAATGATAGATGAATTTTCTGTTTCTTTAAGAATCCAGATAATTTTCAGGCTACAGGCTCATTTACTCCTGCTATTTCTGAGTTGCAACGAAAGGACAAATTCATGAGGATTCTTTTTTCATCTCAAGTTCGTAAGGTAAGCTGGAGAAGATTGGGGAAAATGTCCTCCCAAAACAGAAAGTGTGTGGGACAAAAAGTAGGCTTCAGGGAAAACTAAAGCTTTTTTAATGGTTGAATCTTGGTAGAAATAACACAACAGGTATTTCTTAGTAAAAGAGGAAGTTAGTTTAATGGTGATGACCTTCCAGGCTATTAGGCCATGGTCTAATTATTTGATATCCTGACATTTCACCAACAAATATGGCTGGCATTTTCAGAGGTGAAAGTGATCTGTTCTGCAGTGCACTTAGCTCCCTCCAGGTTCTCTTTACCCTCTGCACAACTATGATTTCCCTCAGCCCCATTGTTTGCTTTGCTCATTCTTATGTCTTCCAGAATCCTTGGTCTCAGAATATATTCTGCCATGTAGTTTGTTTGATGAAAACAGCCTCCTTTTGTTCT